AGGGCACCTAATCGTTCTATTGAGTTAATAATTGGTAACAAGCAATAAGTTTTCTTATTGTAAAACATATATCACATGTTTTCACACTTCCGAGCGTATGAGAAGAAATGAACATTGTTGGGAAGCTTGTACAAAACTTAATGCGGTTTTTCAATACAATCTAAGAGCGTGTTTAGGTTGAATTAGTAAAGCTAGGTCTAATCAAAGAGCGTGTTTTGGTTAGATAATTTGGCAAGCGAGAGTTATTAGAGCGTGTTAATATCTTTCAGTACCAACATAGAATAGCAATCTTGAATTACATCAAGTCATAATCAAGTTGAACAACAACATTGAGAACTAGAACTAGAACCATTCAATCAATTTGTTTACAAATCTATTTCATTTTGTGCATGCTTTTAAAGTAGATTGTTATTTAGTTATTTACTTTTGCAAACAAACCCCCCTTTGTGACCAAAGTACCTTGTGCAAAAAGGTATAGACTTTTGTCCCGTGTCTCTGTGGTTCGACCCTGCTTGCCTTGTACTACTTTTTAGTACATTAAAGCAGTGTATTTGGAGTCTATTGTACCCCTATTATTTGTTGGGTCTGACACGCCTAACAGGAATCGAAAATCTGAAGAAAATTGACTTATCTGATAAAAAATTGAAGTCTTTTCAGTTTGCTGTACAACCACCAAATCCACTAATTCTACTATATCTGAAGGGATCTGGCCTTTGGATTGACAAAGAATCGAATTGAGCTGAAGATGAGCCCACGTTTACTAGTTAAAAAACTGGTTGGACAAATTCGAGCCAACGACTTTAAAGAGGGTGGCTTTCCGGGAGGCCGTCGATGTAGTTTTAGTTTATTTTTCTGCTTAAAATAAAGACATGGTTGGACAAAGTCGCAGTTCCAAGCAAGCTTGGAAATTAGAGGATCTTCAAAGTTGCTGAAATCCACATTTTATGCCAACATCTTCGTCTAAATCAGAAATTTCTGCAAACTTATTAGGTACTTCTTTCCTAGCTAAACTCTTCTATTTTTATATGCTTTATTGAGTTGGTCATTCCTCTCTGAGCATTGAGGACAACAAATCACTTTATGCTTGGGAGGGGATTATTGTAAAAAATTGCATTTTTTTTTTTTATAAAATTTTAAAATTTTTCAGTTTTTCAGTTAGAATTTTCAATTTTCCTTTTTGCATTTTATTTTCTACATTGCATTTGCACATAAAAATTTGAAAAAGGTATAAAGAGTTTTTATTTTCTGCATTCATAAAAAAAACTCAAAAAGATTTTATTTCTCGATATTTTAGTGTTTATTTTACATTTAATTACGTATTAGAACTGACATGTAACTTTTCAAAGTGATAAAGAGATTTATATATCTATCATAAATAAAGCTTTCCCTTATCTTAATTCTCATCACTGCACACCGAACGTTTGATTTGTGTATAGATCGACATGATGAGAACTCGAAGCGGATTAGGAAATGGTAATCAACAGCCCGAGCCACGGGTAATTGAGCATGCACTAAAGGTAGCAGTTGCACACAAACCGATCATGTTCGCAATGATACAAACGATGTTGGATTGTCAGATGGAAGAAGCAAGGTGTCTACTTCAGCAGAATATGGATGATCCTACTATGCCTGTTTTGCAGCCCAAACTAAATGAAGAACATCAGAGGAGAGAATTGCAGTCAAACTATGAGTGAAGCTGAACCTCGTGTGGTAAGGAGGACGACCCGAACATAGGATTGACAAGGATGAGCGTATGTATAAGAACTTCTTGGGTACCATGCCACCAAGTCTTTTGGAAACCCAAATCCAGTAGGGATTATAGACTGGATCTCCAAGATGGAGATGGTTTTTAAAAGTTGCAACTGCAACAATAAGCATAAACTGTCTTTGCAGTCAAACAACTGAAGACTGGGGTTTTAAGTTGGTGGAAGTTGTTGGAAGATACAATGCCACAAGGAGAATCCATGAGGATGTCTTGGAAGCATTCCTGGAGTATTTTAATACACTACTGCTTGCAGGTATATCT